TTTCTTCATTACAGCACTCATTTGGTGATATATTAAATCCATTCACAAACTTGAACTCCACGAATTGATTAATAAACTTCCAATGACAATCCATGGGTATTATCAGCAAAACTTTCAATAAAATGGTCATTATTGCATGCTCCATATGTACATACTGTATTACCCGTCAATTAATGGGTTCCCCCAAAGGCATTTGGTGATCAATGCAAATTACTTTAGCTTGCTACATAATCTCCTCAGAAAATTTCAATTTCCCCAGAAATTTAAAATTTCTCCAGAAATTCATTATTTTTTCAGATTTCTGAGGTGGTATAAGAAGAAAATGTTACTGCGTTTCTCCATTTAATTAAAAAGGCCACATGTCAGTCAAGCAGCTTATGACAGACTGGTGAACCCAGCTACCATTCCCACCACACACAAAGCTTAATGGCTCAGCAAACTTTGATGTACTTTGCGCTTTACCTTTAGATGAAAATTCAAATGCCACTATAATTTAAATGCAGGTTCTTCCTTCTCCCCTTTCCTTTGTAGAAGTTTCCTTCAAACTGCAAATGTATTCAAATGCTGCCTCATTTCAGCAACCCCAATTCACATTCTTGAATTTCCATTTTTGAATGCTTTATAACTGGTTTACAAACTTTTGTCAGTTCATATGTGAATGGGTAAAATATTTGGTTAACCAACAGCCTGTGACTTCCTGTCCAACACAAGTCCTCTTGTTTTTGCATTGATCAGAAGTGTTCCATTCTGAAATTCTGCACTACATGGGTAAGAAGAAGCTTGCAATTTCAAAATTCTGGCTGTTCAAAGATGTTGCATTTGATGAGCCAGAAAGTTACCACATATAAAATATCAAGGGGAACACCCAGCCCAGTTTTTAAAATTCAAATTTCAGGTGCCATTCCGGTACAGTCCTGTTATCTCTGTACCTCATTCCTAGACCTCACTACCATCCAGACAAATCTTTAGGACAAGTTCATTATCACAACAACCTACCAGAAACTGTGAATTTTATTTTTTTGCATTCTGCTGAAACTGATTTTGGGAGGCAGTTAGGTAAAGTTAGGTTAGGTGAGGTTATGCTAGTTGAAAGATATTTGTAACTAACATAACCTGACCTAACCTAACTTTACCTAACTGCCTCCCAAAATTAGTTTCAGCAGAAACCCAAAGAAAGCAGAAACTGATTTTGGGAGGCGGTTAGGTGGAGTTAGGTTAGGTCAGGGTAAATTGGTCAGAGGGAAGGTACAGAGATAACAGGAAAGTAGGCACAGAGGTAACAGGAAAGTAGGTACAGAGATAACAGGAAAATACCGCCATTCCTTCTTCGCCTGTGGTTGAAAGCCACCCCACAAACAAACACACACAGAAATTTAGATATTTTACAGTTATTTTAATGTCAGAATTTTCCCAGATGCCCAAGATGTGATAACTCTCACAGCTTTTGAACTTAAAAATCCTCAGAAGGATGTTGTCCTTTAGTAAGTTTCTCTTACACTTTATCAATGTAAGAAGTTCTTGTATTTTAGGCCCTTGAATTGTTTTTAAAGAAAATTTTTCTTGATTTTTCATGAGCATTTACAGAACTTTGAATATTTTGGAACAAATTAAAATCATTTCTGTACCTTATCAATACAAAGGGAAAGCATGATTTGGTTAGCAAAATATCCAGTTGAAAAACTTTGTTCAAGAACAGATTAAAAGTTCTTAAAACCAGAAGACCCCACTGTACCAGTGTTAGATAAACAGGCTGTGTTTATTCCTATTCAGATTTCTCACATAGGTCTTGCATAACAGAAGACACCAGGGATTTTTGTAGTAGCTCATGACAGAGAAACATCTGCATGGATTGATATCATGAAGACAAAGTTTCATTCATTTGCAAATTTCCAGTCCTGATCCCTGCCATTCCCTCTTTGATCCCGCCGGCCGCCCTTGGCCGTTTCATCATTTCTGAGAATTCTGACATGGTATCATAGTTTATTGAACAAGACCCAGCAGATTTTTGTTTCTCGAAACTTTCCCCATCCCGTCTGCTTATTCTTAATGTTTCCCTGTAAAATATTTCCATTCAATATTCCCGGGAACACCTGCATTTTTGCCAGGACAAATATTTTTGTTCCATATTCTTGGGAACACCTGCTTTTCCAAGTATCCTTGGGAAAATATTTTCATTCAATTATTCCCCATAAACCATTTTGTGCAATTTTTCCATCCTTGGGTCTGGACAATGCTGCTGGGCATTCTTCCCTCAGCTGCACCCAACAAACCAGCAAATTTCCAGAACATTTCTTGAAAAAATTTCAAAAAAAAAATTCTGCAGACCTGCAAAGTTTCACATTTCGAAGACTCAAAAAAGTTGTTTGAAAGACTTCATGTATATGCAAGTTTCTGCTTTTTCAAAAATCAAGTTCAGAACCAATAAAGCAGCTTCAGTGGAATGTCTTTGAGAATTGAAAAGTTGAGCTTGAAGAAAGGGTTCTTAGAATGAAAAATCAAAATACTGCTAATTCATTTCAGAAGGTGAAAATTTGTCTGAAGCATCATTAGGAGAAAAGGAAATTTTTCTTCGAAAATCTCAGATGAAGGCAATAGATTTCCTTGCTACCTATTATGATGAAGAAAATTTTCCCCAGACCAGCAAGAGTCTGCTGAGTGCATATCAGGACTTGGGAACACTGCTTCAAAGAGTCTTATAGCAGAATTAGATTTCCAGAGAAGCGCATATTGTTGATAAAGAATGAACTCTGTCAAGAGTAAAAATTTAGTGGCCTTTCTATTCTATGTGAATACAGGAGAATTCCAACCTGAAAGAATTTTCTCTAAATTATCCAAAAAGGACAATAAGGAAATAAATTCCTCGCCTCCTTATATTTTTCCAGCATTCCATGTAAATAGAATAATTCAAATCTAAAATGATTTACCCTTGTATACAAAAAGGATATCAAGACCTACTTATTGCTCTCTCCCACTGCTGCAAGGATGAGCAAGATTAATCCTCTAAATTAATTTGTGCTCAACATATTTCTGTTAAGGAATGCTAAGCATTTTTCATAATCCAGGACAAGGTATATGAAAAGATGTAGCTCTATATACAGTTTGAGCCTTGCGCAGGAGACCTCACAAGTTCTGGAATTACTGTAATTATGCTCCCATGATGCAAAAGTTGTGATCATTCTGAAAAAAAAAACCTGCTAGACCACAAATCCTGGATGTGAAAATGCATATATTCTTTAGAGCCAACCTTTTAACTTGGTTTCACTAGCTGTCACAAGGCATGAACATACATCCCAAAGGGAATCTACACAGATGAATTATCAAGGAGAAAAATTAATGTATTCAGTTTTCCAAATATTTGGTCATCTTCTGATCTAATTTTACCTCAATGTTTAAAACTCTCTGATGCAAGAACAGGAAGTCAGATTTCTGTAATGATATTAAATTTGTCTTTAAAACTGTAAAGCTGCCTTTTTATTCTTGCCATGTTCATCCAAGGACAAATTACGCAGCAAAAACTCAAGCGCAATACCAATCTCTCTGCAAATTCAGATGAATTCAATGGGAAGAAGTGCATGCTACAAATTTTAACCTCTGATTGCAGCAGGTTCTTTCTCAGTGTGCAGCAGAGTTGGGATTTTTCTGGGGGGGCAGCACATTTCAGTTTGACCCAAGATTACTGAAATGCACCCAGGTTGAGGAGGACTATAAATCTGGAAAAATCCAAGAAACAAATTTTCTTTTGTTCCCAAGATTTCCCCATGCAAATCCTATGCCAGGAATGCATGAAAAAACACCACCCAGCCAGGGATTTTTTAAAATTTTTGTTGAAAATTTTCTGCAGGATTAGAAAAAAATCTTGGACTTTTTTCCCACTTAGCCCTTGGTAAAAAAGGTTTTTTTATTCCCAGTGGCACAAAATTTTGCTAAATATCCCAAATTTGCCACTCAAGGGTCACAGGGGTCATCTGCAATCCTCACTGATTGACATATATTAATAGAATCAATAGGCTAAAACTGCTTCTTTGATTCTCAACTCAATTTTTGTAATAAAACTGACAACTTTTGCATGTATTTGAAAGATTTCTGTTGGTCTGCAAACATTTTGTGTAACTTTGCTACTGGCTACATGGAATGAACTTCATGGACCTTAGCTGGGTCTATAAAATTACCTGAAAATTTTACAGTCTGTGGATCCAAAACGGTCAGGGGACATTGCTTTAGACTGGAGGAAGTGACTTGCACAAGAATCTTTGTATTGGATGAGACATTTTTTGAACTTGTGCTGAAGAACCTTCTCAAATGTGAAGATACATTTCTGACACCCAAACACTTTCATATCTTAAATTTTCAGGTCTTACTTGGTCAAAAATGCTACAGTACATTCTTTCCTTCAAATGTACAAAATACTAATGATACGAATATTTTCTTCCACCTTTCTCATTCACAATATTCACTTTTTCTTGAGAATGTTAGACTTAACGCGAAAAAATCTTTTGCTAAACACTTCCTGAGGGAGGATAATTCAGTAACATCTTCAATTCAAGGCTAATGTTAGCAGGTAACCATTTCGTCATTTGATTTTTCAAAAGGAAGTCTTTCTTGGCCAAGTACCCATGCATATTAGCGAAGATAAATGTTAAATCTTTACTGACTTAGAAGCTTTCTGAGAAATCCTTTGATGATAAGCTGCAGTCCATTTTCATACTGGATTCATCAACAGAGGATGCACAGCATGCTCTCAAATCAGTGCTTCTAAGAAACGCCCACATTCAAATATCATTAGAAATACGCAAAATGTAAAGTGGCAACTTCCTCCTACAAGTAACAACAGGCATAAAATTTAATCGCGTTAGCTCAACCGTCGAAGATCCGTCCAATTCCATTTCACGAACCCAGAGTCCCACTTCAATAACATTTTTACCCCCTCCTGAACCCTGGGATTTGCAGACAACACATTAACCTCGACGATTATTATACAGTTAACCGAAATCAGACTCGAGTATTCGTAGTGCATCTTTCCTTCCTTCCTCATTCCGCACAATAAAGTATAACGAGAAACGCAAAACAACCGTTACGAAACAAGTTTCACGCGGTCTTTCAACACTTTGAACAAACCGGAATTCTGAATCTTCTTGTCAAATCGGGATAGAGCCCATTCCAAAGACTTCTGGCCTTTGCCTTCGCCTCCCTGGTTTTCGTATTCTGCCAGAACTTTCTTACGTAGCTTCTTCACGGGCAACTCGCCTCCAGCACTCGTCAATGCTTCAGTAATCACAGATTCCCATTTGAACTTGCGAGGTTTAACAGGAGTTTCAACCTCGAGTTCCTCCTCTTCACCATCTGAAAAAAATAAAAATCCCACGGTTTCTTCAATAAGAGGCAGAATGATGATACAGTATTTTAAAAGGTACGAATCGCTTCTGTAGTATCTGTACACAGCATATGTTTCTATGTGTGAACCCTTTCAAATCACACAGAGCCTTTTTCGATTATAAATTAAGTATTGGGCTCGCGCTTCGAACTCCATCAAGTTTAGTTACTTGTTTAATAATTAGGCTTGGTACGCCATGCTTTCAGTTTTTTTTTCTTACAGACAAACGTTTGTATATACTGCATTCGTATGAAGCATGTTGGACCAGGCATCATTCACGCGTTAGGTTAGATTGATTATACAGCCAAACTTCGATAATTAGAACCTTCCGAAGTCAAATGTTTTTCAAGCCCCTGTCTGCATTCTCTTAGAAACAATTTAGTACAAACCTGAATGCTTTCCTCAAACCTTTGTACCCCAAATTTTTTGGACATTACAGGAATATTTCTTTCAAAATAAAATAGATAACAAAATGAATCCTTGATTTCTTTGTGACCCAGGAATCCAGGATAGAGAGATAGCAATAAAAGCATAACTTGATACTTCTTTTGCAAGAAAGGGAAAATGAACCCTTACTTCCACGTTTGACATCCTCTCGACTTCTTTGCAGAACAGTTCTGGACAGAAGAATCACTAATTTAAACTTCCTTCAATTCTTCTCTGACTGTACTTACATTAACTCAAAAACTGTCCAAATCGATTTTTTATGGTCCCTTGGAAATCGACTTGAAAATGTTCAACTTGTTTTAGTGCAATTTTTTAATCAATGAGGATTGATGCTGTAACAGTCAAGCAACTGTCAAGTGAGATTCGTTGGGTTTAAGGTGGAGGTATTTGGTACCGAATAGCTTAACCTTAAACCACTTGGGTGTGGGATTTCATCTCTGTACAAGGCTATAGGAGGGTTGTCTCACTTCGGCGCGAACTTGGTTATTTCCGGAGTAGGTAAGAAGATAAAATAAATGTGCGACATAGCCCGGGAAGTGATGAGGTTCTGGGACTTTTTTGGGATTTTTAAAAACAGTTTTCAATTTACTGCACGATGATTAATGAAAACTTTCCAATTCTGACCAGAGTTCTCCGCCCATGTCACTGGGTGCTGAACTTTGACAGACCAGATGAAAAATGAAATTTTTTTGTTGGTTCAACTATCTAAAATGTAGAAAAGATAATGGTTACAAAAACAACCAAATTTAAATTTTTTGGCCGGCCTGACATTTTTTCAGCACCCTATGACATGGGTGGAGAACTCTGGTTGTAACTGGGACGTTGTCACTTATGCAGTCCTGTGGCAATTGTTTTCGAATATCCGGGAAAAAAAACCGAAACCGAGGTCGCGCCCAAGTGGGACTACCCTAGTATTTGAAGGATTTTGGAAACATGATAAAATGAATGCGTATCAACAGTATGAGCTTACTCTGTCGTTCAACATCCTCAACTTCTTGCGATTCGCAAAGCTCTTTCTGTTTCTTCTTTTTGGATTTTTTCTGTGGTTCGGATTCCCCACTGTCAGCACCGTCTTGAGATCCCGTCAAATCGTCCTCATCATCGCCATTTTCTTCATGCGATTGCTGTCGCTTACGCTTCTTCGATGGCTTCGTGTCAGCATCCTCGATTTGTTTCCGCTTATCCTTTTTCTCAACCTTGTCATGTTCTTTCCGTCTGAGTTCCTTCTTTTCACGCTTCGACAGATTCTCCTTGTCATTCGAGCTCTCTGCAGGCACAATGACGGCTTCCGGTTGTGGCTTCCCTACACCCTCTGGTTTGGAACTCGAGAAAATGTCCCAGGCTTGAGAAATCAACTGGGGGTCTTTGCAGAAGATCGAGTTCTTCACGAAATTTTCGAACTTAACCTTCTTTCGGGGTACGTTGGGATATTGGGAGACGGATTCGAGCAGAGTTCTTAGTCTCGGGTTCATGTTCGCGGATGCTTCAGACGAGAGAACGGACTGAACGTGTTCCGTCCAAGCTTCTTGCTTCTTCTCGCCCTTGTTGGCACTCGGCTTCGCCTGATAGTTCTTTCCTCCGTACTTCTCGTTTTCTGTGATGCATTTTGTGTGTTCCTTGAATTCATCACCCCTAGCGCAAAAATTTTTAAATGACCATCGATGAATATTTACTCATCTCGGAAGGTTGCCCGGAAGTTTGAACAGTGACACATTTAACAAGAGAAGAGTTTTAATTGGAAGCATAAATTCGCTGAGAAATAAGCCGGCAAAAGGGGATTCATACTCCATCCTGAAAAGCACATAATCTTCCTTCATGTTAATCTGATTTAGAAAATGAATATCGGCAAAAGCTAATAAAACAGAAGAATCAGTTACTCGCGAATAACTAGACCTTCGAGCTACACAATGAAGAGAGATTTTCAAATTTAACGGCTGCATATCGTCGCACATTTCCCGTGATAAACTTCTTGACCCGTTACGTTCGTTGAGTTGTCGCGATACCGGGTTTAACGAAGCCAATACTCACCAGAAATCTTTGTTACAATCCATGCAGGACACCGACTCGCATTTCCTGCACTGAGTCAAATAATGCTTTTCCACTTGGTTCTTTTTCAATGATGAACCACACGCATTACAGGCGAACACGACCATTATTTCGTCCGCACTGTCGTCTAGAAGAGAGGATAAGTTCAGGAAATGTCAAACGTTTGCAAGGGAAAAAGGTTCGGAAAGTCTTTCAAAGTTTCAACGTAAGAACAACTCCAGAACCTCTTTTTCTGTTCAGAAACCTGCACCGCATTCCACGATAGAATGATATAAATAGCTTCGTTTCTTCTACTTCAAACGTCTACGAATTCGCGATTGTTCATCATTACGCGTAGTGAATCTGGACGTAGTGAAACGATTTCGTATATACTGTACTGACTGAAAAACCAAATCTATCGCATCAAAAGCTTTTATTAAGAACAAAAGAAGCATAGTTGAAAAGGATGGATGCGATTTCGTACACTTCGTAGCTGTATAATTAAGAGATGAACTTGATTATTTAATGGTAACATTTGAAATTCTCGAACCGATATGAAGGGTTTCTTCGGTTGGACGAGCTCTCTCAAATCGAACTGGCTCAGATTATTCACTTTAAGGTTGGGTCATTTCGATTCGATCAGGTTCCTCAACGTCAGCTGATGATTCGGGCGACATTTACTAACAATTCAAGCAAGAGTTAAGAGAACCTATACGCCGCTTCAAGAATGAAATAACTTCGTATTCTGGGTAAATGAAAATGTCAGGAGCTTCATCACTTCTGGAATATGAAACTTCATCTCGATATTGCAGAAGCTTGAGCTAATATTAATTGAGATTTGTTCCATACCCCCCCCCCCTCCTACGCTTTTCACACTTGCCGTTTTACCGCTTTTGTACGGAATTTGTTCATTGTAAACCTCAAAGATGAATATCTGCCATCACATTCCGTTTCCCCACCTCCAAGAACAATGCATCATCCATCTTCAAAAGCACCTTTGGTAACCCCATACCCTCGTAAAAACATGAGCTCGTTCGTGACGGAGGTATAAAACAATATCATCACAATGATCAGCACTTCATAAAGTCAGGAGGCTTCAAATGCTGTTTTTCAATCGTTGTTCGCCTTCAGAAAAAGTGAACAACTGATCTACGATCATCCTGACACTTCAAAGTTCTCTTTTTGAACTTTGACGCAGGTCGGAGGACACCACGACAAAATCTGAGCGATGGACTCTTTCATACGCTCTTCATCACCGTCATTTTCGATTATTAAATCCCATGATTGCACGGAATCCAGTCCACATTCCGTTTCCGCATCATCAATGCCCGCTGCAAATGTCCACCTGCAAGAATTTCCGGTCGTGAAGCTACAAACGAGCACGCATCATAACAAAAACGGCGATCATTCAACAAAAATCAGAACCAAAACTTCCCCTCTTTCGCACTTCATCTTTCGTAATTCTTCAATAATATTTAAAGGGAGCCTCGAAGGGGAAATGTCACCGAAAAAGTGATGAACAAACTAGCCAGAACATTCGACACGAGCCCTTTCGTGCACTTGTTCGTTCACGACTATTCATTACAGATGTGCACACACTTCGATTTAGATATCAAATGAAATCCTTTCAGAGCAGGACACTAACCCTCTAGAAGTTCTCGTCGATTCTGTAGCTCTTACCAGAACCGTCTTGACAAGAGAGCCTTTCCCGAGACGCTCTCGAAACCAAATCAAATCCGAGATTCGTCGCATGTCCACGATTACCCAGAGTCTTTTTTGCTCATCGGGATCCGCTTCTGCGATTGCTGGACGAATGAAACACCCGTCGTCCACTTTCCGCAAGGCTTCAGACCAAGACAACATGGCAGCTCTGTGTTGTTCTTTATAGCTGGAGGCTGACAAGAGTTCTTCGTAATCTAGGTTGTGAGTTTTCGCGTACTCAGACTTGATAGGTGCCGAGATGTGGATGAAAGCTGTCGAGGTTTCGTCCAAGTTCGCGCTAAGGAGATCGGCGACATAATCCTTGCCAGACTTGCGTTTCCCGGCGAACAAAATCGCAACCATGGGACCCATGATCCTGCCTTTCAGGTAAATTCTATTACCTTTCGAAGGAAAAAGGAAATGCTGCTCAAATCAACGGGATTCCGCGCGTGTTTTCCACTCGACTCCCAAATACAGTACTACATTGTACAGCGAAACGAATAAACACGAAAACACGCTGGACCAGAAATTTACGCATCCATCTGTCAAGAAAAAATAGTCCCAACTCAGCTTGTGGAGTCAAATCCGCAGGAATACAGCCAAGAAATTATACGAGACCGGAGAAAGCAGACTAAATTGATGCGTCACCGTGAATCTGTTGAAATGAGAGGCTGTCGGAGAAATTGTACAAATTCACGAGTAATCGAATGACAAATACAATCCGCAGTTTAAAATAAATTGAGATAAAAATTCAATGAGTACTTCGAGTGGGAAACAGTAATGCTCACCATATAGTTTTAATCAACCGCGTCTTTCGTGTCATCAAACCAACCATTCATTCTTAGAAGGAAAAAAAAGTTGCTCACAAAGAATATCTACTTTCAGATTCGTCGCTTACGAAAATCAGTCAATAGCGATGCTATTATTTCAGCTCTAAAGGCAACTCAGAGATGTTTTAACATGAAAGACACTTGAAACCATTCGCAGATAAACAATGCAGAGATACTTTATCATTTTCCACCGACTTCAAAATTTCGAATCCACCTTCTCCTCAATTAGAAATTTCAGAAATTAGAAGCAGGGAGAAAAGCTATCTTCATAACCTTCAAGAATATGCCTCGAAACAAATTTGATGCTTCAACTAGTCATGCAGGACAAGTACTTCAGTCCCCACTTCATTTACGCGTCGAAAAAAAGACTTCTCCAATACCCACTAACATAATACACCACGGAAGAAATCGCGACACTACAGTAATATAATCAGACTTGGGTACAAGAAATCCCAGAAGGTCGACGAAAAACAATTCATAGCTTTGGCCAGACTCTTGTAATGTCATTTGAAGACAATGGTGCTCCTCATAACATTAAAATCATGACTCCGGGGAATAACTGCAACAACAAAAGGAGACACACATACAGCATAAGAACACTTCCAGGAGCCGATAAAATGAGGAAAACGCGTTTCAATCTTTCCGAGAAAATCCCGTCATTAACTCCTGTACGGTTGCTGATAACCTCCTCGTTTGTTGGGACCTCCTTGAGGATTCGGCGGCCGCGAAAATCTTCCCCCGGCATTATTCCCTCCAAAACCTGTCAGAAATAATTTTTCGGTGATCAATAATTAGGAAAACATATTTCCCCTCACGATTTAGGAGACATTATCCTGGAAGGACTCACCGCCGGGCTGATGAGATGATCCACCATACCCTTGTTGATTCCATCCTTGAGCATTTGGATTCATTCCCTAGGAGTGAAGATACGAGGATTGCATTTTAGATCGTTCATTCAATTCGTGGAGAGGTTAAAAAGTTCTATGGACCTAAGAAGGAGAACCGATCACACTTGCCTGAACTTTCTTCACTGCAACAACGACTACTGAACAAGATCCCAATTCAATTGCAGTATAAACACGATACTTTTCGTGCTTACGCATCAGTGAACGATCATCCATAAATATTTATCTTTAAAGCATGAACAGTGCCATTAAAATAGTCTGCAGCTAACAAAAAAAATTCGAAAAAGTACATAAGGGTGAAATTTACAAAATGGTGAACATGGTTGGTTTTCCATGGCCATTACAGTTCCACTGCAAAAATTATATCATGATCTAATAATTCAATAATAGTAGTTCGGCGCTAAAGCGACTTTTCTTCAATATCTCCACAAGCGATTTGAGATTATTACATTTTGATAGCGTTGTGGGCAATCATTCAATAAATTGCGGGAAAATTGTGCCCAAATCTAACTCACGGATGTTGTTTACTGCATACTGTATTTCTCACTCTAAACATCATACTGTGAAAAAAATTTTCTATCATTCGCATGGATACCCCACATTTTCATAGAACGAAAGACAGATACAATTTCGACAACACAGTAAGAAGGAATTTTCCACTCACCTGGCTTTGATACGATGGATAAGGCCCACGTACGGGAGCGGGTCCACCGGGAACCTGATTTAACCCAGCACCCGCCCCCTGTGCCCCAGGCATGGGGTATTGCACAGTATCCGCACCTGGTTTAGCAACCGGAGCTGGAAAATTAAATCGTACTTCAGATTTCAGGTATCCAATCAGCACTTGAGAATATGTCATAGGTACATCAGAGTGAGCTATTGTCTGACACAATGGTTACAGATCGCCCGTCGCTCACTTGAATCATCATCAAGGATGTCATCAGCATTGAATTTCCATCAATAAACTCGCCTGAACAAAATAACCGTCCGAAAAGTCACCGTGCGGCGAGAAATTTCATCGCTGAGAATACGTGAATTGGTACAACATGATACAGGAAATTTCTTCAGTACTCTCGGGAATATTTCCAGCGCTTTTTCTACTGTAGCAAGTCTAGCAACTTCACAAGTCGATTGATCTCCCACCGAATGGTAAGTTTCTCGAAGTTGCGCATTAGTATCACGAGAAATTAAATTCCGGTAAGTGCACACACACGAGCCACAGAAAGTGCATAGATTTCCTCAACTCACCCGGAGCTTGATTACTTGTGTCATTCCATTGCGCCCAGAAATTGTTGGGGCCTCCAGCGGGATTTGCCGGAGGAACTGGTGCAGGTGCTTGTTGCGGAGGTCCTGAATTGGAAAAAGATTAGAAACAGATGTAACGGACGCTAATTTTCAAGCAGTTACGCTCGCCTTCTTTGTCGATCACATTCATCTTTCACTTACAGATAATGCATGAAAATATCCGTGGCTCATGCAAAAATATAGGCGTTTTCTCCTCATGACGGAAAACTAACTTATTTTTGAAGATTTCATAACTACTCACCATAAGAACCATCAGTCGGTCCATAGTTTCCTTGCGGATCCATTGGACCAGACTGCCATCCACCAGGACCGCCGTAACTTTGAGGTCCTCCGGCAGGTGGGCCACCATAATTCTGAGAAGGTCCTCCTGCAGGTGGGCCACCATAACTTTGCGGCGGACCTCCAGCAGGTGGACCACCATAATTTTGCGGCGGCCCACCTTGTGGTGGTCCGTAACTCTGCGGACCCCCTTGCTGCGGTCCGTAATTCTGCGCCGGCCCACCTTGTGCAGGTCCATAATTTTGCTGAGGCCCACCAGGTCCGTATTGCTGCGGTCCACCTTAAAACGTAAGAAAAACTATTAGTATGTTAAGACAAATACAGTAAAACATCACCGCTAGCATTACACATACTTTGCATCAAGATTATCAAATGAAGCTTTGAACTTTCCAGTGATATTCAGAGTGAGCTGGCCTCATCAAAATTCAGTTCGCCCGTCGCTCACATGATTCATCATATCATCACTGGAATTGCACAAATGAAACGATGTCTTACCTGGACGAGGTCCCCACTGCTGTGGTCCACCCATATTCGGCGGTCCCCAATTTCCATCTCCACCAGAATCTATAATTGAGAACATGCATCAAACTTCGCATTCAACATTTGTCCTTCAATACAATGAATTATCAACAGGGCTTTCAGGGTGAACTGTCCTCAATCACACGCACATAGCTCAGCACTGCCCGTCGTTCACTAATTCATCACGCAATACTGCCGTTCTTTTCGACTGATTAGATCGATTAAATCTACGGTGAATATAATACAAAGGGTACAAATGGAAGCAAAACTCACAATTTTCCCAGTTCCCTTGACCACCATACTCGTTCCAATCTTGATTAGGGCCACCCTATTGAAAAAAATTGCATTTTTTAATCCGGCATCACAGTGAACACAATTGAAAGACTAACCATGTTCTGCCCGGGCCCCATCCATCTCGGACCCTGACCCATGTATGGTCTTGGACCTTGATTGTAGTTCCCGTACGAATTCTGGTTGTAGTTGGTGCTGATGAGTGGACGACTTTTGACATCCCTCGGTTCAGCTCGCTTTATTTCAACCTTTTAAAAGTTTGGAAGAATTTAGAAGATTCTATCTCCACGTCAGGCAACATTGCAAGATGGAGAGGAAGAGGGAAAAGAATTTCGATAGAAAGTTATAACTCAATGTCTGAAGCGGGATGCATTGAGCTGCACCTTCACACAAGGTGTTCGGATCTTCAGCAAAAGCATTCTTAGCATCGTGATTCCCGAAAAGAGAGCTATATTCATCCTGCATTAACTTTTTAAAAAAATAATTACGTCTAATACGATGATATCAATATCCGATTATGTTAAATCAAGAATAACTCACATTTCGGTTACATCAAAATTGTCGGATCTATGGCTGTGGAGCTATTGAATATGAACTTTCAATCGAACCCAAATTTAGATATTCAGCAGCAACAGATAGGGCAATTTCGAAGCTTAAATATCTAAGTTTAAATATAGGTTAGAACTGTGCGGGAACCCGGTAGAAGGTACACGAAGTATGATAATTGCTGTGCAGCTCCTTTCACGAATCAAGGACATAGGAGAATAACCTTACGGAATTCATGAAGAAGCGTGTGCTCTGAAGAATGCACAAGCTGGAACTCATGACGTTTTCCAGTATATCAGGTGAACAACATTGAACAACTAATGAAGTAAAATGAAAGCATAAAATTATGAAGAAAGCAAGAGATGGAAAAAGAAGAAGCAAAATGAACTCCCTGAGCCATCGTTGCTTCACGTCCCAAAAAATACAAATTTATGATTGGAAATATACTGTATATAAATATTGTATCTAGTGTTATTCATCTACGGACGCGTTTCTTGCGCTTGGTAGGTGCGAAGCTAGACGAAAACATTAACCTCATAACGGAGCTGAATGCCTAGATTGATAGGTTACGAGGAGTAAAATAGTGTACTATTTTATACGAAGCATAGCTTCGCGAGTAACGAAGACATTTTATGAATCAAACTATAGTGATCAGCGATTAGGATTTGCTTTTTTTGGGACAAGTCGCATTACGAACACTCGTTCAACCTGAGATGTCATTAGCTCTTTTCACTCCACGAGAAGTACCTTCTTGCCACTGATGGTGACATAATGCTCTTCAACAAGTCTGTCAACCGCGTCCGGACCCTCGAAGCCTATAAAGCCGAATCCTAAAGAATCGTAATGATCGAAGTATACATTACGCTATAATTCCCGACTAATTAATATGTTTAAAGGACGTATATTTACGACAGTTACCTCGCGGGCGCTGCCGCTCCTGATCGAACATGATGATGACTTCGGTGACCACACCGTATTGACTGAAAAAGCGTTCCAATTCCGATTGCGTAACCGTCGGCGGCAAACCTCCGACGAAAACCTTCGGAGAATCGTCTCGCTTCTCCGGACGCTCGGAACGAGGTGAACAACGCTTCGGGTCGATCTGTTCGAACAGTTAAGAGAAAGTTCAAAGCACCTTCTTCGTTGAGGCCACAAATAACTCACCATTTTACCATCGAGATGATGCGGTTGCGTCGAAATGACGTACTGCACTGTTCCAGGATCCATGAAAGTGACAAAACCGAATCCGCGTGAACGCCCTGTCTTGACATTCATCATAACAATGCACTCCTTGACGGGTCCAAATGAGGAGAAATAATGCATCAATGAATCTGAAATAACGAACGAAAATCATTAATGGGCATACATGTGAAACGAAAAGAAACGACGCACCTTCATTCGTATCAAGAGACAATCCTCCGACGAAAATTTTCCTGAAAATGATTTAAATAAAAACACGCATCAGTCAAATCATACTTGCAAAAATACAATGCCTAACTCACGCATTATCGGTATGTTCAGTGTCAGGTCGAGAACGCTTTGCCGAAGTATGGTCATTATAACCATTAGAGGGGCTCATTTCCCTTTTCATACCTGTACGTGAATCTGCCATATCAGTTGCAGACGTATGCTTTCTACGCAACGCGGCAAACCTTGAATACAAAGGAATTATGGTCAAACAGTAACACTGTATAATCTCTCTGTAAGAGGCTCGGGCAGAATTTTCACAACGGATAAAACGTCACTGGTCACCCCATCAATCACCGGCCGAAAACCATTCACCCATGTGATTATCTATACTCGAGGACATCAACCCACAACGCTTGAATAACCGCGACTTCCAATTGATTTTCATCAATTCGACGGCTTCGATCAGAATCCGAACGAACGGTTAACAAGACACGCGAGCGTTTGCGGCACAACTGAAAAGTTCCTCCATTTCGAAAACGCTGCGGCACAGAGCTTCAATCGGTAACACTGAGCAACCGTTGTCAGCAGGCCACGGATTTCACGACTTCAATATGTTCGGAATAATCGGCAATAAATGTATGCAGTTCATCTTTGAAAGATGATTCTGTAAATGTCCACAAGAGGCTGGTACTCTGTGAGGGGTAAAAAAATTCAATGCGATTTAATCAAATCCTCCACATGTTGCTGCAGTTGCCGTTAAGAATGATGATTTCTTTGTGGTATTGTATTCATACCATACACAGAAGTGACATCTACACGCACTAAGATATATTGTACCAAAATCCATGTATTATTGTACAGTATGAGTATTACTGTACCCTCTCAGGAAAAGAACGCCTCTTGGCTCTCCTATGGATCTACCACACGGACGACACGGTGCAGAACCACAGCCATTCAAATTTTAGGGCACTCCACAAATATTGTATATTCGACTAATTGGGGTGTTTCAGGTAGGATTTGGCTTCATTCGGGTAGATTATAAACAATGTGAATTTCCACTTTACAAAGTAGTTTTCCTCGTGTGGGTTCCCACTTGACTTTATGAGCTATAGTGCATTAGGCGTATGTGTAAAACTGATTGAGGTTACCTTCAGACATTTTGAGATATTTCCTGAAATTGGAGATCATGCCTCAAAATGGAAGTTTAAAAAAATAACGAAATGACTGTTCCAAGTCAAATAAAATTTTTTCAATAACAGACCAAGAAATGAGCCTTCTCCAGCATCAGAGTGAAGATACAATTATCTTTCGTATAAGCAGCAGTGTGACAGATTAAATAATTCATTGATGGAGTTTATTTTTTCTGAGTCACCTCACTTTATTTTCTAAATTTGCGAGATATTTGTTTACTTTACACATTAAAAATTGAACCGAAATCCAAAAATTCTAGTAAATATTGTGAATGGAAAAATCACACAAAATGAATGTGCTTGTGCTGAATTTGGCAAAGGTCACGGAAAAGTAATTTTCAGCAGTACAGTTTTATGCGTGGCACCTATAGCCACCTACGAATTTATTGCAATATAATCACGTACATCAATAAGAAACGCGGAATTTTGCTGGGATCAAAAATTATTTGTGATAGACACGAAAAAAGCTTCTGGGAAGCCTCCCATCGGCTGAAAGCATGATGATGATAACCGAGTGACGCCATCAAGAACTGATGCCCTAAAAAAAACTTACCCTCGTCGTCGGTACATATATACTTTCTGCCTTACGCACTGTAACCGACTACGGAAAAAGGAGGTTCCCGAAAAAATATATATTTAGTGACTAAAGTTAGTGACTGCATCATGCGGGGCCAACTTCGCAGATGTTATCGAATCCTGGAAGCGTCCTACTGGTGCTGCTGGGGTCGCAATCGTCCTGAATTTCCGGGGCAGTTCTCAGAAAACGGTGGCTATAGGTCTGTTATTTTCCTTTTCGTTCTCACCCATTGCGCATTTCATAAGGCATCTTGATCTTTTCACTGCGACCGTCTCATCGGCAGTTTTCTGGCGAACCTCTCGGGGGAAACAACTGACACCAGAGGTGTTGTGAAATAATAAAATTTTCGCCTGACGAGTCATTTATTCTTCAGCTCGCTCGATCTCGATCCTCGTGGAATGAGAACTTCGTAATTCGTTTCCCTCCGCCTTCAAAAGAAATAAAATATACGACATACGAGGCTACATATACAAAAATGGCGAAACGGATTCGTCGTGTGCAGGTGAACAACGGACTTTATAATAAGTTGCAGTCGATTCAGGAAGACTCGGAGCACGAAAACGGAGACGATGATAATTGTTCTGCTGGACGAGATGCAGGGAAATTGCGTCGGAGCTCTTTGCTCTCGGCCGACAACGTGGAGTTGTACCAGTGCATGACAGAGATGCGCGTACAGAACTACGATTGTCTACAGCGATCACTCAACGGCTTGCTTCTCAACCTAAACAAGCGCCGCTAAAAGCTGCGACGCAAGTAGTGTGTGCGACGGTAAGTTCCCTAGATAAAACCAGCTGCTGGGTCGGGTGAGAAAATATTTTTTTTGGCACATGTACAGTAATGGCATATATCGAAATCAACCAATAGTTGACGTACACTCGAATATCATTCATCCTCGGTATAAAAAAAGCGTGATATTTATTTTTGCCGAAGACATATACTGCACATATGTTAAATAAATCCATTTAGGACCAGCAGTGAAAACTTTTTTTGAGGTATGAGTGTATGACATATGTGACCGATTTTTTTTAAAATGGCAAATATTCGAGGGAACAAAAATTTGCGTGTGGTACATGTACTAGAATATGCCATACTGTATAATGATAGACTTTCCGACTTTCATTTTTCTCGCCAGATATGTATATTTTTTTATCCTTTTTCTGCCTTAAATTTAAAAACTGAAAAATAGAAATTTGTAAGCCTCGTAACTTGCTTTTTAACGTTTTTAACTAGATGAATCGCACTCCCGATTGTATTCATGGAGTGCCTCGGATAATGTACTTATTATCGTTATTCCGAAGGGGAGTCCACTATCTGAATTGT